GCCTCGCATTTGCTGTGATAGAATCGTGCATGTTTACACTAGCTGAATACATATATTTAGACAGTAAAAATACATTTAGACAATGATAGACAGTAACACTAATTATTATTATATAATAAAATACATTTAAAAATATATATTTCTTATTCATAATTTTAATATTGATAATAAACAATTAATACGTTTAATTATAATAATATTGTTGTGCTGAGCGGGGACGGAATGGAGACAAAGGTGCAGATGTCAGGGTATTGGGGAATACGGGGTTTAATTACAGGTAAGGCAGGCAAAACGCAGACGGACAATACAATGACTGGACTGGGGAAACAAACAAAAATTCTGTTTTAATGATGTTGTATTGCAACACACCAGTGTAAGGGACCTTGGGGGTGACACCCTTGTGAAATGCACTATATAAAAATAAACTGAACTGATGGAAATGGTCATCCCAAAAACCCACACCCTCATCCGCCCTGCATCAATCAGGTTCCCCACCCTTGAACTACAGGGATGGCTGACACTACTGTCTGTACCATAAATCTCGGTTCATTAATAATATTTATTATCACCTGGAACTAAAACAACCTTGCTCACTATTGCTCTTTTCCCTGCTTGTCAGTGAACATGTGTTTCTCATTTCCTATGTCATGCCTGTAGAACTGAAAGCGTAAAGCAGCAACTGGACCAGCATGAAAAAAGCTTAAGCCCTCATTTATTTGAATGAAGGCACAAAATGCACAAACACACATCTTGCCTTATTCGCCTCAAGCATATTTATATCCAGCTGAAGTTTGACCAACGTCATGTGACTGACCTGTGTTCAACCAAAATGAGAGGAATGGCGGCTTGGCTTTGCGGTAGTTGTAGTAGACTGTAGCTGTTTATGTATTACACATGGATATGTAAAATCTAATTCTGGTCCCTCGTTATTTTACCACAAGATACAATTAAATATCTATTTGCAATATCTGGTCGAACTCTACCGTTCCTTTCTAGCTGCCAAAGTGGTGGGATGAGTATTCAGATCCTTTAAGTAAATTCAATGCTGTTACAAAGAAATACTCATACTCGAAGTTTCATGAGTATATGAGTATTTTTCATCTCAATTTCTTCAACTTCGGTCTTAGGCCGGAGCTTTTCTTTGTGCTTCGCGTCACTCGGTTGGTTGACTGTGAGCATGCGCAGAAGCGCTTACGTCGAGCTATCGGCCCCTGTCAGGCATCGGCATCTCCATAACCACAAATCTCCTCTGAATCAATATTGATTCAATGTCAAATTTTCAACATTGCATGTCTGCATGTTACTTTGTTGTTCATTTTCATTAATGTCATTACTTGCTAAATAAAACCATCTGTTTCTTTAAGGACGTTCCTGGGAATAAATCCTGAACGAGGGTTGAAGACTGAAAAGAAGGGAACAAAATAGCTACGCATTCCTCCAAGACTGCTGAAGTTCTTTATGAGTTGAACGACTTTGGAAATCCATAGACAATTTGAGCTGTATTCATTAGTCGCTCACACTGGCACATGGCGAGAGGTACCAAGAACACACACAGAGACATTATTCTTATTGATTGTTTTTGAATGTTTTAAACTTCAAAAGTAGTTATACTTTATTATGATCACTCTTTGGTGAAGCACCATTATTGTACTAGTAGATTGTTCATTATTGAAGATACCTTCATTTTAATGGTTTATTTTGACCTGTTTTATTCTGTTTGTTGCTGTTTAAAGCAAAAAGTATTTTACAAAACAAGCACTTTTCAATAATTCTGTACTCATTGCTGTAATATGCAATGGTATGATGTTTTAGTTCTTTTAAAACTAACAATCTATATGAATTTACATTATTTACATAATATTTATATGAGGAAAAAATGACTTGGGGGGAAAAAATAAACAGTTTTTACATATTGTGGTGAATTTATTTGTTCATGTTGCTCTAAGCAGTTCAATTATCCCATCAGAATATTTCACTGGTCTAGTGATGGATACCATTTATCATTGTATTTCAGCATTGTTATTAGATTGTTTTTTTTACCAGACAGTGTGGGCAACTAGTGACTATACAAAATTTTACATTTGAGCTTTGAAGAAACAGTCCATAGAAATGGTAAGATTTGATTAGAATTGTCAGTAGTGGTGAAATTCCTATTCCGATATTTTGCAGACATTTCCGCTTTAGGTAGTGTTGTAGTCAAGACCGCCTAAACTGAGACTAAGACATTGCCGAGACCGGAGGGTATCAAGACCAAGACACACTAAGGCGACACCAAGACCAAGACTGGTCCAGACCAAGACCAAGACCGAAAACAAACTATGGCTAGAATCGACATCACATTACTCAGATCAACTGTAGAGAAAAAAGGCATTGCTGTAAAGTGTCATTACTCGTTAAATCAAATTCATGTTATCTTTTCAATTATATTGTCCATATGTCTCTCATTTAAAATCTCCCAGATTTGTCATAGTTACGAGGCCTGATGGAAAATAATATTCTCAGCAATCCT